ACACACACACACACACACACACTCACACACACACACACGACACGACGCGCGCACACGCACACACGCACACACACACACACACACACACACACACACACACACACACACACACGCACACACACGCACGCACGCACGCGGCCTGATGGAATAATGAACTCGGGGGTGTGTGACGTCACCGGGTTCCCTGGCGGCGTGTGTGTGCGTGCGTCTGCTGTCCCTCTGATGTTACCGCGAGAATCTCCGACGCGTTGCCTCACGGATGTTCTCTTGTTTGAGAACAGCGGCCATTTTATGTTTATTTTATTTTATTTTTAACTTGTGATTCGAATCACCCCGCCCGGGTTAAAAAAGTATTAATTTATGTATTTCATGTTAGTTTTCGTCGTCGTGCTTAATTTATTATGTAAATTATGTAAATTAATTATTGTTAAATTAGTAATTAATGGATTTTATGCTCGTCGTCATTGTCGTCGTCGTCGTCGTCATCGTCATCGTCGTCGTCGTCATCGTCGTTGTACTCATGGTCGTTGTTGCTGTTGCCGCTGTTCGCAGGTGTGGTTCCAGAATCGTCGCGCAAAATGGCGGAAGAGCGAACGATTCGTGAAAGAGCACAAGGACAAAGATGGCGGCGGCAAAGGCCACCTGGTGGACGTGACGTCACACGAGAGCGGCGACGAAGACAGCCGCGCCACCTGTGGGTCGCCGGAAGAACTACGGTCGACGTCGCCGCACACCGAAGGCCGCGAGTCGCCGGAAGCCGTGCAGATGACGCCCCCTGGCGAGCAGCGGTCGCCCTATCAGCCGACCTCGCTTCTGCAGCCGATGCTCGGTGCGGTGACGTCATCGATGACTGCCACGCCCTCTATGATGACGGCTCCCATGATGCATCATCGCTTCCCACACCCGGCGTTTCAGTTTCCGTTCAGTGGTGAGTAACTTTTTAATAAATAAACTCTATATTACTATTTAATTAATCAATAGTAGGTCTCAGGGGAGAGATAGTGAATATAGAAATAAGTTCTGGATATAGAAATCAGTTAACCCTAACCCTAATCCTAGTCCTAACCCTAACCCTAACCCTAACCCTAACTCTAACGCTAACCCTAATCCTAACCCTAACCCTAACCCTAACCCTAATTCTAAAATAAAACAAAATTAGCAAAAAATAAAAAAATAAATAAGAGACAAAATTAGCCAATCAGAATCGTCCCCTAGCGGATCACTATCTCTCCCCTGTGCAAAATTCGTAACTTTTCAATAAATAAACTCTAAATTACAAAAATAATCAACGATTTATACATTCACGAAAGAAGAAACAAAATGGAGGAACTAATGATGAACGACTTAGGATCCATATTTTTAGGGAGAAAAAGTTTTGGAGGTAGAACTGTGTGCCGGCAGTGTATGACTGCTAATACTTTATAGCTTAAACGACTCTCGCTGTGTTTTATAAGTTATCCAGCCGTCATAGATTCAATAATTCGTCTCATCTTCCTTTCTCTCTCTCTCTCGTTCCTCTTCTCTCCTCTTCTTTCTCCCCCATTCTCCCTCTATATTCGTCTACACTCTCACTCTCTTTCCGCTTTCATCTCTCTTCCTTTCTTTCTTTCGAGTCCTTTCTCTCGCTTCCTCTTCGCTCTTTCACGAGACACATTTTTAGCACGAGACACGCTACCGTTGAGACACACTTGAGACTGATGTTTCTCTCTCTCTCTCTCTCTCTCTGTGTGTTTGTAGGGTTTGCGGCTCTCTGCAACTGCTGCCCCGGCAAGCCGCACTCGCTCGCAGCGCACGGATTCGACCCTCTCTTCTCGTCTGCCGCCGCGCACCATCGCTACCTCTTCCCACTGCCGCCCGACCCGGCTAAGTACTTCGGTCGCTCTGCCGACGCACCGCCGCCTCCACCTCCGCCGCACGCGCTTCTGCCGACGGTCACATCGCGCGGAAATCCGTCGTCGGCGACGTCGGCGACGGTGGCGCCCCCCGCGACGTCGACGCAGAATCCCGAAGTTGATCAGCAGAGGGCGCTGTCGTCGGTGGAGTATGCGGCGGTGGCAGCAGCGTCGCACGACCAGCGCAGCAGCAGCGTTGCCGACTTGCGCCGGAAGGCACGCGAGCACGCCGAGGCGCTCGGTGTGACGTCAGTTCCGGCGGACGTGACGAAGCACGAGGCGGCGACGGTTTCGTGAGAGCTGCTAGATGGCGCTGTAGGGTGTATCGGTGTCGCTGATAGGTGGAGCAAAGAATCCAGTTGTTGCGTGTTCGCTGTGTGCTTATGTGTTTTTACACAGCGACAACTTTGCCGACGAAATAACGATGGATTGATTTGTCTGATCTTGTTATTCTGTTTCTTCTTACTCTCTTCCTCCTCTTCCTCCTCTTCCTCCTCTTTCTCCTTCTCGTCCTACTCCTTCTCCTTCTTCCCTTCTTCTTCTTCTTCTTCTTCTTCTTCTTCTTCTTCTTCTCTCTGCTACAACTACTGCCTATTCACTACAACTACTGCTACTACTACCTACTGATACCTACGATACTACTAATACTACTACACTACTACTACTACTACTACTC